TTGGCTGCCTCGAGCATATAAACTCTTTCTTTGTAATTTTTTTCTACCGGCTTATTCATTTCTTCAAGCGCAATCATCCTACGATCGCCGGGCTTTCTTTATCTTAATGGTTTTGACTTGTGTTTCGTAACAAGTACTTTGGACCCTTGGATGCTAAATTCTGGCCTCATTGGATGTTTTTTTTGGTTAATTTTTTTCAAAATTTCTCATTGGTGATTTGTAATCTACTTGTAGAGCAGAATACGTGCTCTTCGCAAGCCCAGGTTCAATGGGTGTGGATTGGGATCTATGTTGGATCTCTCGGTTTTTGTTCTGTTCTTTATAGTTATCATTGTTGAGTGATTTACTAAATGTTTAATGCTGGCTGATATTGGTATCTGTGCTTCCTTCTCTTTTTCCTTTTTATAAAAAAATAGTTTTCCGGCTGGCTCTGTCTGGAGGAGTAATCGGATTTTGCCACATTCCTAGGGCTTGAAATGTTGGTTGTTTGAGGAGTGATTTGATGGGTTGAACTCGAAGAATAATGGATTGCTTCATCAGCGACGACGAAGAATGTCGATTTTACGATGCTCAAGAGGATGTTCTGTCCATTGCTGATGATAAATCCGATGGCGGCACTGACACACCGAATGTGATATCGAATTGTTCTGAATACGAAGTGTGGGTTCGGAGCCCAGAGAGTGTTCAGGAGCGTCGCAGCAAGTTTATGAAGTGGATGGGGCTTAGTTCAGATCGAAGCGCCCTTGAAAATTTAGCTGACGGGGGCAGAATTGAAGATAATAGCGGAGCTGTGACAAGAATCTCTGGTTTTGAAGGTGAATTTTGTTCTAGTCGCTCTTCATTGTCTTGTTGGTCCACTGAAAATTTATCAGAAGAGCGCGGCTTAGTATGGGACAAGAAAATGGGTGACGACAGAGACATGGGTTTGGACCAATTGGTTGTTTCAGAGGAGCCTGGCGATTCCACAAAAGCCTCTGGGGAACCTCCCTCCTTCCAACATTTGATGGCGAAGGAGTTTGAGGATACTAATGTTTTTGGTTGTAAGGTGAAAAGGGCTAGAGGGGGTTGGTTCAGGAGATTACGCTCAATAACACGCATGATTGAGGGGCAAGTTGAAGGGGATAAGGGAAGACAAGAAGGCACTTCTCGAGTCTCAGGGTGTAGGATTCAGAGAGTAAAGGTCCGCCAATTCAGGAAGCAAATGAAGGAACTTTCAGCACTTTTCATGGGGCAAGATTTTCAAGCTCATGAAGGTTCAATTTCAGCCATGAAATTTAGTCCTGACGGGCAGTATCTTGCCAGTGCTGGTGAAGATGGTATTGTAAGATTGTGGAAAGTGGTGGAAGCTGAAAGATGTAATGAAAGTGACACTCCAGAACTTCATCCATCTTGCATATACTTTACAGTGAATAATCTCTCTGAATTGAAACCCTTTCATGTGGATAAAGAAAAAATGACCAAAGGGAGAAGCCTGAGAAAAACATCAGATTCTGCTTGCATTATTTTGCCTCCGAAGGTCTTTCGATTGTTGGAGAGACCATTGCATGAGTTCCATGGGCATGAAGGTGAAGTTTTGGATCTCTGTTGGTCAAACAATAATGTGAGTGAATATCATAAATTTATTTATTTTGTGGCTTAGGCGCCAAATTTGCTAAAAATGAAACATTCTGGAAACTGATTTGCTTCTTCATGTTTTTGGTGCAGCATCTGCTGTCATCTTCAGTTGACAAAACAGTTCGTCTATGGAGAGTGGGTTATGATCATTGCTTGAAAGTTTTCCCGCACTATAACTATGGTGTGCAGTATTTCTACTCTGAAGACATGAACCTAATGTACTTCCATCGGTCAAATTTGTCTCACAATTTTGCTTGTTTTGTTATAATGTCTCGCAGTGACATGCATTCAATTCAATCCTTTGGATGATAATTATTTCATTAGTGGATCTATAGATGGAAAAGTGCGCATTTGGGCAATTTCTGATTGTCATGTTGTTGATTGGACTGATGTTAGAGAAACTGTGACTGCTGTGTGTTATCGGCCTGATGGGCAGGTTTTGTTTCTTAACCAGTTATATTCTGTAGAATTAAAGGGTAGATAGAAACTTATTTTAGAATCTGATTATTTATCTGTTTATAATGCAGGGAGGGATTATTGGCTCCATGACAGGCAATTGTCGATTTTACAGTATATCAGGTACATATTTTCTACACACACATTTACATTTTCCCTTGGAGATATTTGTTTGCTGTAATTTGGCAAAATTTATGTTCATCGTATTCATTTAAGATTTTTACAATATTATTGCATCATGCTTGGTGACATGCGTAAAATGGTTTGTTGGATCTACATCTTGAATGTACTTGTTTTTCTGTTGAAGTGCATGATCTATATGCACTCAAAGTATGGTCTTTGTAATCGCATGATGTGTAAGATTGAGCATGTAAATCGAAGCTTCCTAATCTTTAAAATATAGCTGCAATTGAGGTTAATAATTCATAGTGGATGATAAAGGCCAACTATTTCTTTCTTACAGTAGCAGTTCCGTTGATAGATTTGGGGTTTGGGTTGGCTTTGAGCTACCAATCTACTTAAAGAACTTGCTTCATTTAATTTACTCTCGAAAGTTATATTTATTGTATAAATAAACTAGAAGTTGTTTTATAGTGGACGTTAGACCAACTTACTAGAGTAGTTTTGATGAGGAAGGAGCAAAATTCTGCATGCCAGAAAATCTTATACAAGCTGTAAGGGGAATGACATGTACTTGACTGCCGTTTTGACTTATACGATACTTAAAGACTGCCGTTTTAACTTATACAAGTTCTTACCAATTTGCTTATTTACATTTTGTTTCAGAGAATCACTTGCAGTTAGATTCCCAACTATGCTTGCTTAATAAGAAGAAACTTCCTGGCAGAGGGATAACTGGCTTTCAGGTACTTATTTCTGGCCCTCTAATGCCATGGCAATCCTTTTCACTTTTCCAGTCTACTTTCTGATTTTCTTTAAACAGCACTTACTATTCTTTAGTTGATTAATTTTATTATGTGTTATCTTTTAGTTTCTTCCACACGATTTTAGTAAAGTTATGGTTACCTGTGCTGATTCACAAGTCAGAATCCTTGATGGGCCTAATGTGGTTGGCAAATACAAAGGTATGTTCCTTTTTCTGATTCCTACCTATTGAGAGTTTTCCATCGGCTCCCTAATAATCAGTGAAATGCTTAAGGGTTAAAAAATCAGTTTCTGTATAATGGCTTATATATTCAATCTGCACTGCTACTTGTGTATGCAAAGATAAATGCTAAAAAATGATTGTTTGGAAGCCTTAGGAGGCTTTAACTGTTATTTTAATTATTTATATGTAGCTCATCAAGTGTTTAACGTGCTGTTACTAAGCTCATCTAATTTCTTTTCAGGTCTCAGTGCAGGGAATCATATGTCTGCATCTCTTACTTCAGATGGGAAACATATTTTATCAGCATCGGAGGACTCTAATGTATATCTCTGGAACGTTAGTCAGGAACAGTCTAGTCCCAGAAAAACCAAGAAGATAAGGTCTTGTGAGCGGTTCTTTTCAGATGCTTCCATTGCAGTGCCTTGGTGTGGTTTGAAATCTCAACATCCTGCAAATGAACATCAGCTGGATATTTTAGACCAGAGATCGTCTCAAACTGTATGTCCCAATCCACCTGCTTCTTTTTCTTTAGGCCAAGAGTTTTTCTCTGAGTCTCCTAGGGGATCTGCAACTTGGCCTGAGGAAAAGCTTAATTCTTCAAGCCCCAACCCTGGAAAATCTGCAATGCATAAATCTGATTACAAGTTCTTGAAAGCTTCTTGCCAGAGTACCTCCAGTGTTCATTCATGGGGTCTGGTGATCGTGACTGCAGGCTTGGATGGGCGGATAAAATCATTCCACAATTATGGGTTACCTGTTATTATTTGAAACCAGTGGCCTTTTCCCTTGTTGGAAAGAGAACCTAGATTCGTTGCTTTGCTTGGGGCATATTGTCCTCGGCAAATGGCATGCTGCTACTGTTCTGAGGGCCGAGAGTGATGTTGAACCGATAAGCTTGGCCGCACCAGTAACAAATCAGCTTTTTGAGGGACCCTCTTTGGATTTCAGGGAAATAACATCACCAATTACCTCATGACATGTGGCAGCGGTTCCATGGTTTTAACGTGAACCTGCTTGAAATCAAACAGCCATTGTCCGAACTTAGCTTGTCTCAATCCAGATCAAATTTCCATTTGTTGGAAAGAATCTTCTGGCCCCGAAAAAGTGATGCAAAGTCATGTGTTAAACCTCTACAGGAGAGACCCATGTGGGATACTGTCTATCTTCTTTCATATGGAAGAGCAGATTCAGGAACTGGTGGCTGAAGTTCAGTTAGAGAGAAAATGGTGGGGAAGCTAAGGATTTATATAACTGGCTGGTTTCAACCGATTAGATCTCTTTGTCTGCCAATCTCAAGTCCTTCTCATGGTGGGGCTGAATATTATATACACAGAGTTAGAGGTGGAGGTGTGGAGCTGTGGATGATTGCGACTGCCATTTCTGCTTCAAGACGTGCATTTTGCACTAAAAGATGCAAGCAAATAAGTAACCGAACTGATTAAGTTCTGTTTTTTAAAGTAGTTCTTCTAACAATATCATTGCTAGCTAACATTTAATTTATCATCTCTCAGTGTTAGGCTGACTTAATACTTTGTTAGTTATTAGGATCTTGTCCTACTGTTTTAGTCTGACAGGAAAATGCCATTTTGGTGTTGGCATATATGGAAATTTGTAATTTTCTTATGTAAATAAAATTTTTTGGCTCAACCTCTGGATGATGAGGTTCATGGCTTGTACCAAGTTTGTACACCGCACATAAACTATAGTTTCGTTTTTTTTCCCCACAACAGATAACGATGGGAATAAGATACTTTGATATTATTACACATGTTAGTGATAGTGACATTTGTAAGTATTGGTTTCATTCCACACCCATGTCAGTTGGTTTTATTCCACACCCCTGTCCTTCATGGTTCACTCAGTAACTCTGTTATGGAACAGAAACCACCGGCAAGGATCCTCTTGAGTGAGATCTGAAGTGGTAACGTAACAGTTTGAAACTTGTCCTCTGTCACGCAATTTAGATTTTTTTTTTGGGGGAAAAAAAGTCAAGCAAGACTTGTGAATTGCATTTATCACTGCACAAGGATTTTCACTTCCCTTCTTTGTAGAGGCATTTTTGTTGGAGCCAATCAATGTCAATTATATAATCTATTACTAATTTCATGTCATACATAAAAAGTTGTCTAGTTCTTGTATTTAAAAAAAAAAGTTCTTGGTGTAAGTATAATGCGGATTAATGCATCACTATCAAGTGAAATTAAGGAGGTGTTTGGGTAAGAATAAAACCATCGTTTCAGAAATGCTTTTACGGTATACGAAGTAAATATGTGGAGAAATTTGTCTCGATTTGTAAAAAAAAGTGCTTTTGAAAAGTGTTTTTGGAGTTACCCAAACAGGTTGTATTTTTTTTGAAGTGTGAACAAGGAAAAAACATATCTAAAAAAAGAACATTACATGGTTGATTTCAAAAAGGACTCGATTATGTGATGATGCTCAATTGACAAGCCTTTTGAACTCACTTTTCACTTTTCTGGTTTCAATTATATAATTGGGAGTATTCAATAAAGTATTAAAAAGCATCAATAACAAACTAATATCCTAAGTGGAGTTCAAATACAATTGGAACATTAAAAAACAATACACCTTTTATAGTTAGGAAAGAGGAACCTGGGATATGCACATGGGAGTTTAGTCTTTAACAATCTCATATTTAATCTTTCTATATGGACTTACCTTTTATTCTTCGGGTCCTTACCTTAATATGTCCCGTTCAAGTAATATCTGAATAAATGCCAATCCAATGAGCACACGGTAGTTTATTTCAAAGGCAAAAAAAAAAAAAAAAAATCCCATTTGTCAGCAATAAAAGTCACCCCTTCAAGCTCCAAATCCAATACACAAGTCCACAGATTTATGCAGATTTGAATGACAAATACTTTTTAACTGAGTTTTCGTTAAGAACCAACAATGCAACTTGGCTTTAAAAATATAAAGCGAAAGGCCAAACCACTGAGAAAGAGAGAGAGAAACACATAAGCAACTGGAAAACAAAATGTATTAAATGGAAGGTAGTGCGATGAAGAATAATGCTGCAGTGTATTGCCTTAATCATTCACATAACATCATGAACTATTTTATAAACTAAACTGGACGAGAAATTATTAAGGCAAGATAAATTGCAGAAGAATACAAAAGTGGATGAATGAAAGTGGGAAGGCATGAACAGGAAAAAGCAAATTGAGAAGCACATGATAATGAAACAATCTCTTGAGGCACATGCATGTGGGAAGCAGACAAACTTGCAACAAAATCACTGATTTATGTGCTGTAATCTCACTCAACCTTCTCTTCCTTTGCACTTTTTTTTGTTTATTTTATTTATTTATTTATTGCTGAATATGGATTAATCTAATATGATTTGCCTCACTAACCCGCCATTTCTGACACAAAACCATGTAAGTATTTAGTTTAATTGATGATTTGGTCTTTTAATTCCTGAACATCTTAATTAATGCTCTGTGTATCATTACTTTAAAGTAAGGTCGGTTTAATAATTCTTTTCAACGTATTTGTTTATAATAAAGCCCAATCATTTAAGTGCAATGTATTTCTAATCCCCAATTTCACCATTTAGAAGATTGTGTACAGATTGGACGAGAAGACAGTCTCCGTTTGGCTGTTGGAAATGATGGGGAAAAATTGATTAAATTAACAATGATCAATGATAAATTTTTTGTAGGAGTGGGGCAATTAAATAATATAAGCTCATGAATTTATATTTTCAATTTTTGATAAATGATAATGATAATTGCTATGAGAGAGATCATTCATATGGTCATAGTCATTAATACATGATTATTCAAACAAGAATCATACAAAATATGCTTATATTGTGAAAAATCATATGACAAATTGACAATGCCTGGTTACCTATGAATGATGTGGTTCCTAAAAACCCACCATAGATAATTAAACTATAAGAACAGAATTTCAGGCCAAAAAATCTATAAAAACAGAGTCAGAACATGCATTTTCAAAAATAACAAAAGCTTTCAAAGTACTACTTTCAGTTTTTAATATAAGATCTTGTTTGACTTTTATTTTGATCCTAAATATAAGACCCCAATCCACCTTGTCTTTCATTTTTATACATTTTTTCTTAAGGTAATCCTTCTAATAATGATAGTTCTAACCAATGTACTTGATTAGCAAGGATATTTTAGGAAAGACAACACATGTTTATTATAAATAACTAACTTAACTTCTTTTCTTAATCTCCTTAAATTAGTCAACTAGTTCTTATAATTAGAGGCGGAGGTAGTATGAATTATGTCAAAATACTGATTCAAGACCCACAATAGAAAATTTCTTATCACATTTATAAAGTTTACATGGAGTGTGTAATGTGTGAAGAGTTCGTCTCTTTTTTGGTAGCAAGAAAACAGCTTTGGTTTTAAAACAAAGGATTAAAAAAACATCTATTTCACTTTTTTTGTTTTTGGGCGACATGGCCGATGTAGATATTGCCAACGACATAACCCAATATTCTCCTTTTCGAACATTAGACTCATTTTTGTTTTTGGTATTTTGGTGGCAACATTACATTCTTTTCTGGGTTATTAAACTGGGCTTGTACAATTTAGCCCGAAACAACCTGTTGTTTTTTTTAAGGCCCACAGGGTAAATTTGCGAAACAGGACCGGCATCATATTATAGTATATTAAAATATACTTTAAAAGCAATTGATCATATTATCTCTATTTCTAATTATAAAACCTTATTTTTGGCCAAAAAAAAAAATTATAAAACCTTATTTAAAAGCTACAGACAAAATCTTATAATTAGGATCAGAGTTCGTAGTTAAAAAGAAAATCACAACCTATCTTTTGTAGGAATTTTTTATTTCAGATTTTGAGTAATACTCCTCCGGTCCTAATTATAAGACCCAATTGACTTATTTGAGGAGATTAAGGAAGTAAGTTAAATTGGTTATTTATAATAAATAAGTGTTGTCATTCCTAAAATATCCTTGCTAATTAAATATATTGGCTAAAACTATCATTATTAGAAGAATTATCTTGGAAAAAAATGTATAAATATAAGAGACAAAATGGATTGGGTCTTATAATTAGGACCAAATAAAAAGTCAAATTGGGTCTTATAATAAGGACCGGAGGAGTACCATTTTGGAAAATTTTTAATTATATTATTTAAATATAATAATACTCAGAATACAGTGTACGTGAAAAAGTGGGTAGATTATGGCTTCATAGTGCCACGAATGATGCCACGTAAAATATCTATTCGCGGATAAGCCGCAAGCGACAATGGCCGAAACTGATCGATACAGATAGAGAAGAAGCTTGCTGTTTCCTCTGAGAGCTATGGCCAACCTTTCGATCCCTCTCCCTCGAAACGCCTTTTCCGTCCGCTATTCCTTCCCCAAACGCTCCATTCTCGCTAATTCTGCGCCCCGCTTCTCCATAGCCGCCCGTTGCTCTGGTCTCTCACTCTTCATTCTCTTTGCTGCTTTCTTGTGTTTGTCGAATTTGGTTCATTTTTTTATGGAATTTTGTTCAGTTTCTGGAAACCTGTTGCTTATGTTTCCTTATTGTAATGTGTGGTGTGATTAGGTGAGTTGGATGGTGGCTCTGAGACTAATGAGAGGTTAGTTACTTTCAACAATATCAAGAGCTTGACCTGTGGCATTCTAGCTGCTTGGACTGTGACTGCTGCTGCTTTTCCCGTTATTGCTGCTAGCCAGGTTCGCTGCTTAAACTGGCCTTCAATTTGAATAGTGATAGCAAACTTAGTGGTGTTCGTTTCTTCATGTGTTTTCGTCAGAATTTATAGCGTTTTTTCTTTGATCCCCTTTTGCCCTACAAGTTTTGATCAAGGAGGTTAATGTGTGTCTCTTTAACGGAAGATCGTTGTTGGATTTCTGATTTGCTGCTCTTTGTAGTTTACACCACAGATTTCATAAGAATTCAGAGTTGATCTTTCTATATTAATTGATCCTGTTCTGTTTGAAGCTGCCATATTTTGTGTGTTCCCATTTTGCACAATGAGATTATAATTTTGTTTTAGAATTTGGACAGTTACTGTCCTTTCTAAAAACCTTTGCGTTGCATGAATGTTAAAGAATGACTTGTGTTATGTATGTTCATGACTTATGGATAACGTGGCTTTCTGCAAGTTATATATGTATATATATTGATGTTGATTTAGTCCCTCATTACCGAAATGGTGTGTACCAAATGAAATCAGTGTCAATTTCTTTTGTATATGGCCATTTAAAGTTTTTTAAAACCGTAT